AATATCGCTTTTTCCTGACAGCTGCAACAAAAAATTGATTGTTAATAATAATTACAATTTATATGTAATAATTACATCAATAAGCAAAAAGGTTGGTTATACGATATCAAATAAAAAAGTAAATCTAATTTATATATTATACTATTTATATATGTATAATCTATATTATTAAAATATTGCACGTAAATTATCTAAATTACTTATCTGAAATTCAGTCCTTCTAATTAATATGATACATACTTTATGCACTGCAATTGATAAAACAGAAAGGCAACAAGAGCCGACGTAGAATGTCAGTAGCAAATAAATAAAAAAAAAACAGTTTAATATATTTAAAAAAAATGATTGAACACAAGTCGAACATTTCGCTCATTTTACGTGATTCTCTTCGGTGACATATAAAAAAATTAATTAAATATATCACAAACTAATAGTATACATAAATCTTAATTAAAAGCTGAATATTAATTTAGAACAAGTACACATTGCAATAACTAAACAAAACAGATCTCACTATACGTGATAGACACTATACGTGATAAAATATTAATTTAGAACAAGTACACATTGCAATAACTAAACAAAACAGATCTCACCCGATGCACTGCATTACTTACATCAAGAACTCTTTCTCGTAAGGCATGTCCGTAATTCGGAATCGCATTTCGTTCGTCTGGAAAAGTATATATGTTTGCTGCGTCACCAAAACAAATTCGCCGAAGGAATCTAAGCGCGGTCCAGATGTACCACCTAATTTAATTGAATATTTATGTACATATGAAGTATCTAATAACATAGTAGCAAATAAATCATCGAATATAATAAATAGAAACATAATATATGTAATATAATGAATTGAAAAGAACTTTTAATGCTGCTTATGATTTTATTATTTATTTGAAAATGATGGAAAAAGAAAGATTTGTGGGAAACTTGTAACTTTTTAAATTATATTCTTTTTTTTAACTATAATCATCTCTATTATTTACATCACTCGATTAATTTTATTATTCTGTGCACAAAGTATTAAAATACAGCTATGGAAGTTATTTTACGAAGGTGAGTTTGCTTGTTGTCACCAGTAATGATTAGAAATGAGACGGGAAACTAATAGTCAACCCAACTGGCTAATTATTTAATCGATTTATTACACAACGTTTCGACCCTATTTTTTGGGTCCTTTTCGAGTGATACTGAGTCAATTATCGTCGTCGAATAAGACAGAGTCGAGTTATTAAAGTTCCGTAACGCACCTGAGTCAATTATCGTCGTCGAATAAGACAGAGTCGAGTTATAAAATAAATGTATACGTGTGAGCACTGTGGTGGTTGGGCTCGAAGTTATTTTAAGTAATATTTTATCTTTTTCATGTATCAAAATATATTTTAGAATAAAATGTAAAATATCTTTTTTAAACAAATATTTAAACTGATGAAACTATCGATTTGTATAATTATCTTAATATTTTGATATACAGAATAATAAAAATCAAATTACATACAAAGAAGTAACGTAGTTAAGATATTTCTAATTAAGTTATTATAACTCGATTATGCGTGAAGAACGTATATTATAAAAAATGGAAGCATATTTCTAAAATGTTTGGAACAGAAATTTAGCATTATTTTGTTCTGTATTTTCACTTTTTACCTTTACCATTAATAAACATCCAGACAATTGCGGACACTCTTGTAAGATTGTTATCTGAAGAGGACCAGTATTACTGACCGAAACGTCGTAATTTATAATAAAGAATTGCCAGCAAGATCACTTTCACACTTATTTAAATTAATAAACATTTTACATTTATTTTGGACTAATTGTAGATGTGAATTTATCAATTATACAAATTATAAGCACTTGTTATAAGAGAAAATTTTATTTACCGTATCTGACATAAATGCATAAGGAATATTAGGGACACACCACCTACACCAGCTAGGAAACCACTGATAAACCATAAATAATTGGGATATTTCAGGAATTGCAATGTATATGTTGGGTTTGAATTTGTCTTGTTGCCCTCTATTATATTGTTTTTTCTATATGTAGTATTTGTCAAGAATGACGTCACATTTTCTGCTACACCATCTAGAAATAAAATTGCAATTAGTAAATAATAATCTATTAATAATATATTAATTTTCTTTGTACTAAAGTATTTATTATATATTAAAGAAATAATTTTATTAAATATAAAAATTTGTTTTATGGATAAGTTTAATTGTTAAGTCTGAATAAAGTTACTTATATATGAATTTTTTATAACAAATATTATTTTATTTTATTAAAGTAATAGAATAATAACTGCTTAGTAAAAGCAAAGCTATATACACAAGATAATAAATGAAATATTATAATATACTACTGAAACGCCTATTAATATGATGTAATATTTTAATTATATACTTTATTATACTTATTTACTTTTTATTTCTTTTCTTATTAAATTATTAGTGCTGAGAATAGCTAAGTAAAATCGAAACATACACGAATTTTACATTAATACGGTAAATACATATTTACTCTATTAACCAATATTCTATATTAGCTCGTTATTTGGCTGTGTCCTTTTTGTATAACTTCATCATATTAATATTTTATTAATTATTAAATAAAAATGAAATTGGAAAGATAATTTAATACACTGAATGATTTTAAATTAAAGAAACTAATTTTAAATTAAAAACAGAGGTACTCCTAATTCACTCTTTATATTTTCATTCTATATCATTTGATATTTTATACTTAATTTATAATACTAATCTTATAATATTGGATATATTTTTTTCCCATTAAAAGATATTTCAAGTTACTACATTTATCAAGTTACTATAAATAATATATGTTAGCTTTCTTATTAATTATATATTATGATCAATATTACATTATTTTTTTATATACATATTCCCCTGAAAACTTTGTTTCTTATTTAAAAATATAATAGGTATTATTTGTCACTTTGGAAGTCCATATGATGAAGAGAACAATAGACAAATAGAATATTATGCTTTCTTAGGGCGAGTTTTACAAACGTCGGTTAACCGCTAACCGAAGATCAGTTGATTCTGTGTCTCTTCTTAGATAATAAGATAGAAAAAGATAGGGAGTTGACTGAACTCTGGTTAACAGTTAACCGACGTTTGTGAAACTGGCCCTTAGCGATGTAAATTACTTTACCAGAAATTAAAATTGTTACGACGATAGTCCATAGTGATAGCTTCATATTGTAAAATATTCAGAGACGTTTCCTTTATTATACAATACTTAAGGCAAAAATCATCTCTCCTAATTTACCTCGTAACTGGTCTCTTACTCTATGATAAATTATCTGAAGATGATAACGTCTAAAATTAATGCTTATATAAGGATATGTTTAGTTTGAATATTTGAACAGTGGAGAATATAACACTATTTGACAAGATTAAAACTAAAAGAACGTAGAATTTCCTCCAGCGTATGCTACAGAGATATCAGTCGTATGATCAACATAGCATTCGCTATTCTAAATATTCATAACATAACTAACTATCAATTAATATTAATTTAATCAAAGTAGCACAATTAAGCCCCCCTCTCCCAAGAAAACTAATTCTATCTGATTTATTTACATGTTTGACAAATCATTAGCATATAACGCACTGTAAGTTTAAAATGATTAAATTATTATGAAATATAAAATAATTTGTGATGAATACCTAACTGATAAAATTACAAATTTCGATGAAGTGTGATATACATTATTTTACTTATACTATACGTTGCAATGTCGATATGCTAATGATGTAATTGCACTTTAATTTATAATACATAACAGCATGACACTAAAGAAAAGTTTAGTATGATAACTAGTATAATAACTATTATCAAAATTATTTGACGAAATAAAAATTTATTGGAAATAAGATAATATTACATACCAGGAATGAAATACTGTTTCAATTTCTTTTATCCGTCGTGTACGATTCGACACCAGTTACTGACGAATGCTCTATTTGTAAGAATCACGCATCTCTTTAGCATTGTTTGACCCATTTGCTCGAGTGTTATTGAAATCCAGTAAACTGTTTATTATTTTGCTTAGGTACCACGCGTGTTCTCTTTCTCGAAAGGAATATATACGAATTCGATCTGTTTCGATCGTTATAGATGTATATGTGCGTGTAAATATGGCTGTGTGTATAATTGTATGTACGTATGTATGTATGTATTTTTCAGCCTGAATTTCTTTTCAATTGCAATTTCCGCCCAATAATTTAAATTGGTAATTAATGAACTTTCTTCTCAAATTTATTAGAAAATATCTGGGAAAGACAATTGCATATGCTCTGCAAAGAGATTTGTAAAGAAGTTCGATCAAGATATTAATATTATTTCGTTTCTCTTACAAATTCTGGAATTCTATCGTGTGTATGTCCTGTATGTGATAGACAACATATACTATATATGAGATTTCAAACCGTAGAAGACAAGCGTGTAAGTCTTCTTGGTAATAGGCCAATTTATATTATTGGCGTTAGGAAATGTTAGAGTTGTTTACATACTTATTACCATACTGCTTTGTCACCAGTGACAAATTATTTATAGGATTAGGTTATTTTTTTCTAATACGTTTTATTATCTGAACTACCAAAAAATCTAACGAAGATAATCCTCGATTTCCTTGTGTTATATTTCGACTTTTATGTTAAAAAATGAAATCATTAATAAGGATACTGTGTATATTTTACATTTTAGAAAAACGACATAAAAAGTAAAATAAGTATCATACAAATCATACGTTTTCTTTCGTATCTGTTTAACTTTTATCTTTTGAATTACCTACCTTAATTATTTGTCTATTTAACTTTATTTTTTTGATTTTATCATTCGTCTTCAATTGTGTGTTAACCTTGCTAGTTACATAAACTTAATGCGAAATTGATGACTTTTTAAGCAGTAAGCTGAAACTATACAGCATAGTTGCGCGCGCACGAGAATCGCGGAGAAAGAGAAAGAGAGGGGGGAGAAAGAGTGGGAGGGATGGTGAGGGAAGAAGCGAGGAAGAAAGACGTAATAAAAGCGCTTAACATAAATGTACTTAATAAATTATAAATTCATTTCATATTGAGAAACAATTGTGAAACAATTATGACGATATGCTTGTGTATATGAGTGTAGGTATCATACTTTTACAGATTAGAAGTTGCATTTAAACGAGTGCTTACAATATAAGTACTCAACGATGAAATGCATGTAGAGAGACAGTGAACGAATCCATTATAAATGCATTATCGGACGATATATACTCATAAATTTATATCATGGATGTATTCAATTTGATGACGAATGAAAGATTGTTTTGTAATAACAACAAATATGTACAATATAAATTTACATCCAAGTAATGATATCTTGCATGCGTGTTATTTTACAGCAGTGTGCAATATGGCCATGTGTTCACGTTGTTTGTGTGTAATAAAATCAGGTGTGCAATGCGTATGTTCGCAATAATATCATGCGTGCAATCTGCATGTGTGCAATAATATCACGTGCTCAATGTGTTTGTGCGTGATAAGACCATGTGCGCAAACGTACTTTTGTATTACATGTGCGCAATACTGTTTGTGAACAATCGGTTTGTAGGCAATCGGAAATGTCGGCAAACAGGACCCTCTCCCCTATTATTTCTCTTTAATTACTTTCACCAATTCTTTTTATCATTAAGCATATTTTTAATTATTTCTATTTTTACCATCGTTATGAAAATCATCGTTACTCAAACTTGAGAATTTTAAAAGTAATAAGAAATTTGATGACGTGAAAATAAATTATACACTTAAGGTATTCGTTAATGTTTATATTTTCTCTTTCACTGGCTATAAAAAATGTATTTGTTATGATATAAATGCATTATGTATATAATTATTCATAATGTTAATACACGGTCTGCTTATTAAAAGGTATAATTAAAAAGTACTTGATACAGGCATAGTTTAATGAGAATAAATGTATAAGTAACACATAAATGTATGTGGATATGCATATACATACACACACATGTACAGTTCATATTAATATATCTATTGTATATATGCATGTATATTTATATATGCATATGTGCATACATATATGTTTATATTAATTAAATCGAATATATATTGTATATGCTCACTTTATATATTATACTAGGGAGGATATAAAGAGAGAGAATATATATACAATACATATATGTATATAATCATTAACCTGCAGAGGCATATATATGCTCATGTAATGTAAAGTAATGCATATAAATCATTTATACTACAGATACTATACAAATTTTAATATTGTCTATCTTTGTATAACATATAACTACAATCTGTGCCCTTATGTATGCCTCCTAATGCTATTAAATTAATAAAATAAGTTTTATTTATTAATTTGGCCGAAGTTGTCTTTTCATTAAAACTTTCAATAAGATTAACATTAACTAAGTGTAATTTAAATATGTTTAAGATAAAATAAAAAAAGAGCAGATTTTATTTTATCGCCATATTAAGTATACAATAAGGTGATATATCTCTTATTGATTGAATTAATAGATTGTATATGAATATAGATACAGTTTTAGAGTTATAAAAATTAAGTATTATGTTAAAATCGTGTAAATAAAAATTGTACGGTATTCAAGTCAGAGTTAATTGTTTATCACAAGAACGATGGTACTTTTGTTGTCTATAACCTTAGTATTTTGTGTCTTCTTTTTAATGAAAATGACGATGATTTTTTTAGAGAAAGTTATTAATTTAATAGCAATTTGTGTTATGTTATTTCTCCACTTAAGATCTAATGTATTTTATATGTATAAGCAAATTGTACGTAACAGGTACCTCGTTAAAGCTTATCATTTATATCATAATTGTCAAAAGAATATTGTCATTACGCAATGTGTATAAAACATTAGGAGATTCACAAGAACAATATTGTTCGTAATTAAAGGTGAGTCTGCTCCAATACGTTTGAAGGCGTACGTGGTACCTGTAAAGAATAAATTATTGATAGTATTAATAATTTATGTATAAGAAGTAAGGTATACTTTTGATTCTTTGTTTCTTATTGTTAGTAATAATAAACATTTTTCTCTCTGCACATACTCACATTATGTATTTCTGCTTGCACTTGCAGCACGACGTGATCGAAATTCTGTTCCTCTCTTTCGTCTGAAAATAACTTATTTCGAAACTGTAAAGAAGAACTTGTTGTTAGTATTAATAATTTATTTATACAAAGTACAGAAGATATATGATTTTATATAGCTTACAGTTAGCCATAATACACATTTATTCCCTACTTATACTTACACTATGTATTTCTTCTTGTGTTTCCTGGTGTCCGGAAGCGGCAAGCTCGATTGAATCACGTTCCCTATGCAGCGCAGCAGCTCGCCTCGCCAGTGAAGTCCTCCTCTGCACTGTAGGTTCTACTTCGCTTCTACGAATTCTAGAAAAACAACGGACGACGTGGTGCCATAGGTTTCTGAAGAAGTCGTAGATTCGGTCTCCATATCTAATACAAAACAATATTTGTCATTTTTATAAATGTTCTAATAACATCGTGGACACATTATTTTGAAAATAACGCTAATAAATCGCATAATAAATCACGAAAGAATTTGAAGTATTGGTAGCAGTTACTGGTGTTTCTATTTTATATTTTATACGATCAATTTAAGAAAATTAAACAGGATAAAATAGTATTTGGAATAACTAGTGTAAAATTGTATACTTTTTTATGCAATAATATATTCTCTTTACATTAATAGATTTAATGTGATACAGGGGGAGAGTGATGGAATATCTTATTTATTTATGCGTTAAATTGTGTGTAATTAAATATTTAGAATGAAATATTATAAATAAAATTTGAAGTCATAGGAAATTTGGCTTACCCGCACCGAATAATGACGACTAAACATATAAATACTACTACTATAATCAATAGTGCATAGAAGACTAGAACGTAACCACGGATCTGTTGTAGAATCAAATTATTTTGCTGTATCATCATCACTAGTATGTTAAAGTAGGGAATCAAAGCTCTCTCACAAGAATATCCTTGTTCTGACGCATTTCGTAGTGATGCCACATTTTCTATAGTGTCCAGAGTAATAATATTGTATTATTAGTAATTACTTCTAATTAAAAAATAAGTTTATTCCAAATTCATGATTAAGAAAGTTGCAATTTTTATAGCCAGTTATTAAAGATTTTATTTTCGAGCTTTTATGTATGAGTATTATAATTACATAGGTGTAATAGATTGTATATAATTATTTGAAGAATGGAAAGAAAAAGAGTTATCTTACCGAAGTCAGAAGTATTTAATAATTGTGTCATAATGTGGATTTTGAATAATTTAACTCTTAATCCCTTTCAGAAAGCTGAACCGAATCGGTATGATTTTAATCCTGTTTTCCAATGAAAATATCACTTTGTTATATGAATCGCCTGAAATTAATGTAGAGTTTTATGCAGGATTGCGTGTAGGAAGAACCGAATACCATTTTGATATACATATAATCGTTGCTTGGTAAAGTCATGAAAGCTAAGACAGTTTTGAAATTCGCGAAACATACTTGGTAATATATGTCGTGAAACATATATGATTAAACTTTCTTACAAGTGTTAAAAGTATATGATTAATGTATAATATATGAAGCTTCAACTTATGATATATCTGTAATAATTTATTATTACAGAAATAATTCTCAATTACATTTTCATCGCGATACAGTATTTATATTTTTAAAGATAATTAGTTTTAGCATCAGTTTCGTTCTGGTTATATCGTTAATTACACGTAATAACACGAAATTTCAACAGCAAATTATAGCCAGCAAGTTTAAATAATAATTTAATTTATAATGATCATTATTGGTATCGATGAATTTTGAGAGGAACGACATACGAGCCACTCATTATGATGGATTGCAAGGACATGTAATTTTATCACAACGATTACAACAGATGATGATAAATTATTAAAAAATGAGAAACTAAAGGAAAATTTAGTACTAAACGCAATTAAAGCATCAAAATGTCGCTAAATTTACATAATGTGCAATATTAATTTAAAAATAATGATTATTGGTATCGATAATAGACCTTTATCCTAATCGACTATCTTCCGGTTGGTACGACTTTTAACGTAGACATTTCGTATAATACATACAATTATATTTGCTTCTATGTAACATATATTCACTTATTATATCTCATTTGTAAAATGTTTTCCTTGATTCCTTTATAGTTCAATAACTTCTATTGCTTGTTCCTGACGCGGTGGATCACGTTCACCGCGGAGTCCTCGAAAGTAAAAAAATCGGGAAATACGATTCCAATAAGTTGATATAATCATAACAGCCTGTATTCCGGTAGGAGTTAAGGTAAACCTAATTAAATGTAATTTGTACGATTAACAACGTAAATAAGTGTTGAAAATCTATATATTTATAAGAAATTGAAATTAAATTTTCGAAATTTCTGTTGTTTGTAAAATGTTTTATCAGTTTATTAATGTTATTTTAAAACTTATTTGACAGTGAGAAACTATACTGTAATATATCTATACAACTAATATAAGAATTATTTCTAACAATAAAGAAAAAACAAATTAACACGAAAATAATATATAATTCTATTTAACAAGAAGTACGTATATATACGTTAAGAGAATTCAATTTACCAGTGCAAACAGTACACAAAAAGACACATGGAACTAATTACGGCTATAATTATTAATAACCCATCTAAATATTCGAATGACTCTTCAAGCCGTACCACTGTGATCTCCGGGTATTTCTTTGAAGTGTTACTCTCGTTTATTACATCACTCTTTAAAAATGCATTATGTCGAAATACGGCATTCACAACTGCTGGTGCAATAACTAGAAAGGTAAATACAAATAGTAATTAATATTGTTTTTCAATATTGGTCATTGTTATAAATGGTAATTATAACATCTATTTCTAAGATACTTAATTCGTAATAAACATCCCTTTAAAGAACTGTAATTTTATTAGGAACAAAAATTTAATATAAATTAATTGACTTAATTGTATATGTATTTAAGTGTATAGAAAATTTAGTAAATCAATAACTCAAGTTTTTTAACAATAAAATTTATTTTTGGTACATATAGGATAATATAAGTTATCTTACTTGAAATAAAAATCGCAAAGTAAATTATCCGTAATGACATGATAAGATACTGTTTAATTGGTCTTGCGGAAAATTAAAGCAGATGGACGTTAAACGAAGTTTTCTTGATTCACTCAGTTGCAATCACAAAATGAGGTGATTATTTTATATATTGGCATCCAGAAAAGCAGCGCAGTATTTGTCCAATTGTTTATGTAAAGGTTTATTTTATGCTTAAATGGTAGATGCATAAAGTCAAAAAAGTTTTAGTTAAGTCGGTTAAAAAAATTGTAATTATCGAAAGATAAAGGAGAAGTCAAGTTAGTAATAAAATGTAATAGAAAAGGAGGAATTACCGTTTGAATTAGTCTAATATTCTGTTACTCGATGTTCGAGATACGTAAGCACACTAAACTTCTCGTTAAAACACGGACATTTACCTTTAGAAGTAAAATATAACACTGTTGTGAGACGAAATAATAGAGAAATATTTGTATGTATGTATGATTGTCAGTTGACAAGGACATGAAAACTAAGAGAGTTTTGAATGTTGCGAGATATAGGTACTTGGTTAATATTTCGCGAAACATGCTCGATTAAAAGTGCCTCAAAAGTGTACGATTAAACACACACCAAATGTGTGTAAATGCTCTTATTTTATGTATAATAATTTGCAATCACATTGCATGTAATCGCGAGATTTATATTTTTTAAAGCTAATTAGTAGATAATCATCATCAATTTTACTCTGATTATATCGTTAACACGTGATAACACGAAATTACAACAGCAAAATATCGGGGAATTCAAGCTAATGTGTATAATTAATTTATAAGTAATGGTCATTATTGATATCGATGAGGTTTGAGAGGGAGGACACTCATTATCTTTCTAATGAATTACAATGACATGTAACTTTATACATATGTTGATAAAACATTCAAAAGTGAGATACCGAAGAAAAATTTGGCACAATTAACATGTTACGTCTATTTCCAGGCTTGCAGATCACATTGTCTCTCTTGTTCTCAGCAGGAACCCAAAATTTTAGCTACATACTCTTTTACAACAGCGTTCATGTCTTTTTAATATCAACAGGTTTCTGTTCATCAACAATTAAATCCAGTACTTAGTAACCAATGAGTTCTGTTCCCACGTTTCCTTCATAGAGTCTCCAGAAAACTGTGTTATACAAAAATCTTTTATCACTTATCATAATAATTAAATTTGTCATATATTATATATTTGTTATATACATTATATAGTACTATATATAAACACTACAATGCAACAATAAACTATATATTATCATATACTAATATGTATTTAAAACTTTTCTTACAATTTAATGCAATTTGTATTTTATTTTTTACTATCTGTTTTCACTTGTGCATTACTTAGCCAGTAAAAATTGATAGATATGTATATCTAAACAATCAAGATAAGTATAATGTTCTATACAGAATGCAACGATATTGCTTTTCATTAATGTTATTAATTGTTATTATTGATCATTATCTTCTGCGATATTAATTCTAATCAGAGATCGTTTAATAACAAATAAATAAAACTTTATATAAAGTTTGTCACTAAATTTTATTCACATAAATACATGTATTATACTGTATTGTAGTCAAAGTATATTGATTTAATTACATTAGACATATAAGTTATACATAAAATAGTTAAATGATACATGCATTACAAAATTTATGTATATAATCATGAGCTCTAATTTCACAATTAGTTTGTTGAAAAGTACACGGAAAGAAAAAATGTAGCTGCCGTAACTAAAAACTGCATGTGGCAACTTAATTTCAGTTGTAACATATGGACAGCCAATATTTAGTCGTGATAGCTAAGTATTTTGCTACTATGCCTATTGTATTAAGTGTGACAGCAAACCCTTTGCTGTGGTTTAGAAATTTATATGTTACGTAGGTAGCAAAATATTTTTAGCAAACCATGATTAGCTACGGAAACGAAAATTTTCTTTTCGATGTATATATGCTGTATTTAACATACGTAACAGTTAAAATGTTTATACAAAAGTATTTCTATCATTTGGTTCTCTTAAATTTTGTAATACATTAGGTTCGCTGGGTGTCTGCTGCGTCTGTAGACGTCTACAGAAACAAGGAAGAAGATCGACACAACGTTGCCAAAAGATTCCAGAAGCTGCACGGATGCGTATTACAATAGAATACTGGTGAAGCCTAAAAAGATTTACATATATGTTGTATGTGTGTGTGTACGTACATATATATAGATATATGGATCCTCTTGTAATATTTAAGATATGAGATCATAACAACGTATAAAATATCGAGACATTTTGACTTACCTATTAAGCCGACACATAAGGATCCATAAATGAATGATTAACAGTAAAGCTAAACCGGTTACAGTTATAGAGACTAAAATGGATTCCTTTAACTTTACTCTTAACATTGTCGGATAATTGATCGATGAATTTTTTGACGTTTTATATTCAGTATTGTTATTATTTTGTAATATCGACATAACATTTCCTTGAACAATATTTACAAAAGTATTTGTATTGTATAAATAACTATATTAACTAGTAATAAATTAATTTTATTTGTTAATATTATTTTAATTAATATTTATTATATTATTAAAGAATTAACGGTATTACAAATAAAAATTATGAATAAACGAAATTTGTTTGTAAGTTAAAATTAAATTATCACTAGTTCAATTCTTTATTAGTAACAAAAATTGATCATTAATTTCTTGTAAATTTTTATATTAAATTAAATTTAGAAGATAATCTATAATGTTTTATTTATGATGTTATTAAATGTATATACATATATGGTGTTATTTATATAATTTTATATAATTGGAACTGTGAAGAAATACGTAACTTTATTTACGCATTGTTCTATATGTTTTTTTGTATTCTTTACATATTATATAATTTTGCATTTAAAATATGTCACTCTTTCCATTAAAATATATTTTTACCACGCGATTAAATTTTAAAGTAAATTTATCTTATATTTTCTGTTACATTTTTAAATATTAGCTTGTATTAATTTTAAAAAAACAGAGGTATTCTTATTTACGTTTTTTACAGAACGAAGAAGCGTGAATATGTGCATACTATATATGTATATTTCTTCATTCTGTTAATACATTTCTAGAGATATGAATTATCTTACCACAGACTGAAAGTGCAAATATAGTTGTCCATAGTAATTGCATTATAATGTAAGGTTCAATTCTCTTGTTCACAAAACTTAATTAGATAAAATTACTATTTCTCGAGTCATCCAATTGTAATCTGTCTTGATGTCGTCAATTTCTGAAATCAATAATATGATCATTTTATACGAATTAGTGGTATAAAACAAATAATGATACTGAAAATGAGAAATTTTAAAGTACATTGTCCAGCATTAGCGAAGTTATTTACCATAACGTAAACAGGAAGTTAAAATAAAATATATAATAAAGTATACTTATTTAGAAATAAAGTACGTAATAAAATTTAACATAAATAAACGTAATTTTAATTCAATTTGACTTAACGTTAAACATCGTCCAATATACTCGTATTGTTTAATGCATTAATCAAATTGTAGGTATTTGTTGTTACTAATAGCGAATTTGGTTGCTTGTACTAGTGCACTGAGTGCACAATAAGTCTTGTTCATAGTCAATTTCTATAATATATTTAAGGTCGACTTAAATACATGCTCAAAAACCTAATTAGCAAAGAAATAATCGTACGGGTGCTACATAGATCATTTTACTAGCTAAGAAGTATTTCAAGGGATATTTAAGACGATCCTTAATATAAGAATTGACTGTAAACAAGCCTAAGTGCGCACTAGTACAAGCAACCGAATTCGCTACAAGAGAATTACGCTGTACTAAGAGAATTAAAGGTTAAAAAGTAATACTAATTTCGAAAGGAAATCGGTATATTTATATGCATTATTAGTTTATGATACAAAAATCAAAAATCTTGTATCGTTCAACGTATTTGGCAAATGACTATTTTGTTCATATTTCTAGCGAAAACCCATTACATAGGTAATTAATGCGACAATAAATGTTAAGAATAATAATTGCAACGTAAATAATTCTCAAATTAATATAACACTATCGATAATATTACACTAGTCGAGACGATATTGATGTTCTCCAAATATAATAATCCAGCTTTTTAGTCGACATTAACCGGCCAGTGTTTTAATACGGAAAATTTATTGCGAGAAACATTACCTTAGCCAGGGTGCTCTCTAAATATAGTCCATAAGAATAAAGATTCTATCTGCTTGCTATGTAGGCTGTTTATCGCTACGTCCTCTGTACATGACAAGTCAGCTACGGTCTGTAGGAAACGGACAGCTTTCGTACTAATGGTATTATTCGCATAAACACTATTGGCTGTTCCAGTACGGAACTATTTGTCTCTAGACGCTCGCGAATCATATCGTCACCCTACTCCTTTGCGAACGATCTTTTCGTATCAGAAGAGAGCTGAAAACGATGTATTACATGTATTACATATATTACAATCATATGATGATAGATTATATACATTATATACACCTCATTTGATCCCAGAATAGAATCAATTATTTTCTCTCTGTTAATTTTACGGCCCGATAAACGTTGGTAACGCGGAACTGTGAGCAACGGGAGAAGGTACGAGAGCTGTCATGCGCTCTCGTGCGGCGTATAGGAAGTATAGGTACGCAGATTGTCGTAGATTAAATTGGTACCATTACATAGGTACGATATTACGTTGATTAGCCTGTCGGGACGTACTGGCGAATCGACGGTTCATCGATTAAGGAAAGCCCGAAGAAACCCGTGGCGGGACAGATCCGTAGGTCCGCGCGTGGTCGTCATATTTATGTTCCCGTCCGCAACGCGGGCCATAACCGTCAGTTCGTTCCTTGTAAAGCAAGCCGTTTGCCTTCGCACATTGTCCGCCGCGAGATAACCGCGCGGCCGCCTTGTTATTAATGCGTAATGGGAAGTTGCCGTTTATTATCTGGGCACTGTACTGCCGAATAGTCGAATTTAGTCGCATCGATCGGCCCAGTCCGCGTATGCGTGTAATATTTATTATTCGACGGTTAAACAGGCGTAAAGAATCACGATCGTATAATAATGCAGCGTATTGCAGCGGCCAATAAGTAGTACAATTATCTGCCGCATCATCGTTTCTCTCCTTCTTTTTTATTCCTATGATGTATTATTCAACTTTCTGTTACATCTGCGAGCGTGATGCGGCAGGAATCGCGGTACCACCTTCTTATCTACCCGATCAAGCGGATTTTTCACTCGAATCTGACACGAATTATTCTTATGGAGAGACACCAAGAAAGTTTCTCGCCTACTGCCGCACGGAGAGAATTTTCTCTGAAAATTTATCCGGAAAATCATGGAATAACGTGACATTTCCAAGAATTTTATGCGGGTTTTCGGAAATTTTACCATACATTTTACTCGTAATTATACTTGGTACACATTTTACTAGTAAAATGTATGGTAAAGTTTTTAAAAACTCTCACAAAATTCTTGAAAATGCTATGTTGTCCAACATGGTTGTCAGGGTAAATTTTAAGAGAAAATTCTCTCCGTGCACTCTTTAAATCTCAACCTGTCTTGTGTAAGTACTCAAATCGGCCGGTTAAAGATTCTACTTGTAGCCAAATTGGGCACAATTAGCCAACCATAAGTAAGTCTTCATTTATTTGCGTTTTTACCGCGCCTCTTAATTACGCGTTCGCGCGTGACACGCGCCACCCGGGGGAATCTGCGGTGCCGGTGAGGCGATTCGAGCGAGACGATGGAACGGATCGGGATGAGAGCCCGTGGGCGAAGTGTGTACTCGCCAAGTGGCCGGCGCGAATCGTGGACATCGTCGTCGCGGCATTTCCACGTTGGGCCTCTATCGCAGCCGCGCGCGGCACGTCGTAAACTCGCGGACACTCGCGCTCGCGTGGCACGTCGCATTCTTTTAATTACACGCGCGGCCCGATACCACAAGCCCATAAGCTCTCCGCGCGACTAAGCGCTTGGAAACGGCCGACCTTTCTAAACGCGACGGCGAAGTCGCGGGGTCGTAAAGAAAAAGGGAAACCGAGCGCGAGCGCGGGCTGGAGGACAAAGGATCCTCCGATTTGCCGATCGTCGTCGCCGTCGCCGTCTTCCTTCTCGTTGTCGCCCGCTATCGCGCGAGCCACGATCGTTTCTTACCGCGGCTATGTATAAGTGCATTCGCTGGCGTAAAGTCCCCATCCTGCAATCTCAGTTGTTCATCTGGCAGCACGCGGTTACTTGCGTGGCGCGGAGTTAATGCTATCGGAAGACACAATGCGCCACCTTTTGCTCTCACCGACGCTTTTAGAGACCGAACTTTAGCTCGGTTTAAAGTATTCCTATTTTGATCGTGTTATTTGAATCTGAAATATTACTTTTCTAAAAAGTTTTTTTTCTATTATACGTAAAAGGATTTATTTAGGTTAAACAAATGAGATACGTTGAAATCGTGTTTCTTCGAATCTACTAAATTTTTATTTTCTTCCAACTAAAACATTTGCTAGATTTGAAAAAATAGATATGAATTTTCTTAGGATTTTTAGTCTTAATGAAATAAAATTTCGGTTGAGGTAACGAAATTATTTCATTGAAATTAAATTAAATGTCTAGTAAGGTCAAAATTCAAAGAAAATTTGTTTGATTTCAAAGAAACTTTTCTGGGTATATCAACAAAGAAGAGATTTGTTAAAAATAAAGAGGGTCATTTAATTAAGCTTGAGACATATAATTATTGTGCATAAAAAATGAACACATTTCTTCTTACATGTGTATATAAAAGATATTCCGCGATATTACCCTTTTCTCTTTGTTTTTATACACTTTTTATCTTACCCGGAAGAAATCTTATTTCCGAGCATAATAAAATATTGATACTCGCTCAAGTTATCGTGTAATTTGTTACGCGACATAAAGATCTTCATTAGAAAGTGCAAACAGCGATGCCGAGACGAGATATCGTGGGACACATGTGTAAACTGCTGGAATTAATTAGAAAAGTTAAAGGAGCCGCATTTTAAACATGCAAACATGCGTACGCGGGGCAATAAAGATATCGATCAACGATCTCTTGCGGCTCCTTTGATCGAGAGTCAAATCGTGGTTAATGGCTTGATTAATTAAAGCTTTGATCGCGAGAAAGAGAGAGGGTATGCGGCTCGTAAAAATACAGCACGCTCGCGCGATCTGGGCCACCCAGTACGCCGGGGCCTGGGTTACAGGTGGGTTTCGGCCACTCGTGCCCGAAAAATTCGCTCGCGACGGACGCGATTCCAGAAAAACCCGGCATTATTTTGGGAAGCGCAGGTGGCTCTTTGTCGATCGTCGCGGATGCGTTCGCTTTAAAACTTATTCTACAACGGGCGCAAAACGTAAGACGCTAAGGCCCGGTTTCACCAACGTCGTTTAACTTTAAGCTTGGCTTAATTCGTTCCCTGTCTTTTTCCAACTGTTTCTCTAGAAAGAGACAAACGTGAATTAAACTAAGATTAAAGTTATGCGACGTTTGGTGAAATCGGACCTAAGCCGCAATGCAAGAAATCTGCGGCGATATGAAATAATATAGTGTACGTTCGTTGTACCATGAAATTTTGAGTATCACGCAATTCGAATGAACATACAATTCGTTCACGTATCGTTTCTTAGACTCGGTTTCACTAACATCGCTTAACTTCGATTTTAGTTCAATTCTTTCTGTCCTCTTATGTCCATTTTTACCGATGCAGATAAATTATGATCTCTGTTTGACTAAGTTTTTATCTTTTCCGAATTCCGAGGACTATGAAAAGACAAAAAGTAGGTTAAACTCAGACCAAAGTTAATCTGCATTGGTAAAAATGGGCATACGAGGACAGGAAGAATTGAACTAAGATCAAAATTAAGCGATGTTGGTAAAACCGTGTCTAAGAAACGATACGTGAACGAATTGTAAGTTCATTCGGATCGCCTGATACTTGAAATTTCAAGATACAACGAACGTAGACTCGACGTACTCTCTAAAAGTCAATCAGTGGATTATCACTGAAAACAGTGACTATTTTCAGTAATGATTCACTGATTGACTTTTAGAGAGTATATTATTTCATATCGCTTTAAACCTAATCTACAATGTGCCCTTTGCAACTGGAAACATTCTATTTTATATAAGCAAATCAAAACGCTTAAAAAATTAGTCGACAAGTTACGATTGTACAATGAACAATTTATTAACTTACACGAATGTAAACGTATTTATTGGTTGCAAAATAGAATGTTTTTCGACGCAAAGAACACATTGTAGATCATTGCGATCGATGCGATTCTGTTGTACGAAAGACAATGGCCGCGTTCAGCAGACACAACTGTTGAGCGAGCGCTCAGTGATTTCTTAATATGATTGGCTGGATCTAAAAGTATTAACCAATCATACTGAACACTCACTCAACAGTTGTGCCTGCTGAACGTGGGCAATCAGAGGCACGATACAACGAGCGGCACAGGTTCCAAGGGAAAACTTGTGCCTCCCGAGTTAAAGTAATTTTTACATTCACTGGCGGATGAGAATTTATGTCGCGGTATTTACTCGCGTAACGTCGCGTTTCAGTCGCGCGATTTCGAAGCATTTCCCGCGTGCTAATTGTAGCAGCGATGTCGACCCGACGAGCGCGCGTTCGAACACGACAATACGTCCCGCGCCCCGCGCCGCGATGCCTGCCGGGCCAAGCGTCGCCGCGAGATTAACAACAAGGTGACCGTTGGCACGCGGAATAATCAAAACATCGCGCGCCGAGCGTCGCGTAATTGCCTAAAAACACACCGCTACGAAATGTTTACCGCGATATCAAATAACGCGCGTCTAGAACGCGCTCAGTTCACCTCGCTCGGTGCCGGGGTGAAGTTGGCCGCGCTAGTCGCGAATCTTCTCGTGGGGAAGCGTCGCGTACGTCGCGCGCGTCAGTAATCGGCTCGCGTTTAGTAAGTGTCTCATTGTCCGCCAATTCCATCGACGATCGCCCGTCGCGTAGCGCGATCAGCTTGCCGTCACGCGCGTCGGCCGCGTGCGGAAATCGCGCGGGTGCGCGTCGTCTCGCGAGGATCGTCCGGAAGCAGGGTTAGATTTGCCAAAGGCTCGTGTAAGATTGTCGCGGCGAGTGGCGCGTCAAGTTGCACCCGTGCGTTCCTCGCATCGCGGCCATGTTGGATCGCCGGGGGACGCGAGCGAACGTTCTCGAGCTTGATCGCAGTAAAATTCGCGACGATTATCCGGAGCGCCGTGCGCGCAGCGTCGATTCCGTCGCGAATCGCGGAAGATCCGGACAATGAATTCGCGTACGCGTACGTCGCCGGTGTAGTGTAGTGTGTAGTGTTGTGTTGTGTGCCAGCGACCAAGGAATCTGAGAGGAGGAGGGGGCCCGGGGGGCATCCGGCGACGGCGGAGCAACCGTGGGTGAGTAATTCATTATTTGTTCGCTATTTGTCGCCTGTGGAGTCTACGCGACGCGACGTATTGTAT